GTGGTAACGGTCATACGTGTCACTCTTTGCAGGGGAGTGACCCCACCGGGCCCCCCCCCCCCCCCCGACCCGTTCATGAAGGAATCCCGCCCAGACGCCAATGTCAAACTACTAATCCATTTTTGATGAACAAATATTAATCATTCAATTTATGTTACGAGCAATGCGGAAGATAAGGCACACAAAAGCCTTCTGGATCTTCGGAATAAACCACTATCGTCATTTTGTTTAAACTATAAACCTATAAAGGCATGGAGTAATTGTTATGTACATGTAGTACTTGTATCACTCCTAGCTATCTCCCTTCCAGTCATTCACCCCGTGGCGGATTCAGGAGGGGGGGCCCTCCCCTGGCAATTTTTTTTTTTTTTTTTTTTTTTTTTGGGGGGGGGGGGGGGTGGATGGCCAGAGTCGAATTTAAAAAAAAATAGTGGGCACTTTCCCTCATCCCTCCTCGCCGAGTACAAAACAAAAACAAATTAGCTCTCACTACCCCCCCCCCCCCCCCCCCGAGCGAAGATATAGGCCGGCGCGATTTTCGAATGGGGGCAAAACAAAATAGCGCCCCCCCCCCCCCGTTTATTCACCAGCTGGCTGTTTTGCCAGTTTTCTAACGAATTGGGCCCTCTCTTTGTCCCCCCCCCCCCTTACCGCCGGCTAGATCCGTCCCTGCTTTTACCTTCCCCCACTTTCATGATCTAAAACAGAACCCCCCATTATTCCTAGACAGTACCCCATTATTCCTAGACACTGACCTTATCTTTTTTATATAAACATTGATCACCCCAGAGAGCTAACTTCAAGGAACCACATTCCAAGAACTAGGCCCCATGACTCATATCTTCGAGTAGTTCTTCAATAAATGTTTTACCTTCAGCTGTATTTATACTTCGAGTCTCTGTACAATTTATATCGAATGCCCGCAACGAAGTGAAACTATACCGATTCCAACAACACGACATTATCAACAGTTCTTTACAGAGGCGGCGCTTCCTAATAAGTTCCCCTTTTCCTTTCTTTTAAGTGGATAAGTGCCCTTATTCACCTGGAATAATTGCCCACTTGACTATACCCCCTGACCAGTGTCCAAATGTGGGCAGTAGGCCCCTATGTAAAAACTAGTTAATTAAATACGGGCCCAGGGTCCTACAGCCAACTGTTCAGATGCCCAAACAGGAGCGAATAACAAACACAGTTAACACTTAATAATTTTTAAAGGAATAATTCATAATTTAATGGGTCGTAATAGCCACATATTCACTGAGCAATAAATCACAATCACAAGAAAAAAATGTAATTTTGAAACTTTTTAAAATGATGACGTTAATGGCAAGACAGGCAACCGTCAATAAGAGGAGAGAAATACCACGAGACTTGCAAAATCCTTCCAACTACACTGAAGTAAACTCTGCACCTTCGCACAAGCTTTAAAAGTAAAGCGATCATTTTTGCAACAATTGACCTCACGGGTCCACCATGACAAGCCAGACAAATTGAAACGACAAAGGGTGTGTCAAAATGACTTCTAAATAATTTTCACACAGGTTAGACTCACGAATTATATCAATCAATCCACCACTTTTTTGATTTACGTTCCTTCCAAATGTTATTCAAATGGCAGGTAGTTAGCATTCTATTTGAGAATACACTCAGTCTGAACTAAAGTAAGAGTTTTTTATTAAAAAAAAGGAAAACCCCTATCCAAGCCCCACTATAGCACCGTGTGAAATTACTGAATATATTACAATAGTATGATAGTCGGGAAAAAATTATGTAATTTGGTAGGTTTCTCACCTAAATACAATCATTAATCACTGAGTATCACTTACTTATAACAACCATGTCAAGATCGCCTCTGCCCAAATTTTGGTTGAATAGTGTTCAAGAGTAATGTTATTTCAACAAGTACGATTGAGTCGTTTGAGTACTAAAAATACGAATATGCTGTACGTTTTGTGCCGAAAGAGGGAGGTATGCCAACTGTTACAAGCAGAAAACTGACTCGGTGTACAGGTTTTCAATATAAATTTCCAATCATAAATATCTTGAAGTCAAACGAGCGATTGGCTTGTAAAACTCATGGGATTCCCGAATGACCTTAAGGTTTATTAATATGATTGCAGCTTGAGCTGACTAAAGAATTTTGTTTTGGATCCGAGGCATGTTTTCCAATACCTTAAAGCCCGTCTGCACATATGATTGCAGCTTGAGCTGAATATAGAATTTTGTTTGGGATCCGACGCATGTTTTCTAATACCTTAAAGCCTATCTGCACTAGTTGATGGCCGGGGGGGGGGGGGGGGGTTAAACTCCCCCGCAAGGTCACTGATAGGTGGTTATCTCATCAAATCAGCCCTCAATTAACATAAGAAAAAGAGGATCATGGGGGACCAACAGGCACCGATTAGGCATTGTTTGCTATATAGAGGGCGCACAAGCTATAAGTAGTGCAGTGGGGCATTAAATAAAAAACATTTAACTGTATTCGTTAGGGAGAAAAAATCTCAGCCCAAGGGCGATCCAGGATTTTTGGAGAAGAGGGGTAGGCCTACAATATTCCGAAAAATGTCTTGACAATGCATTTTCTGGGAGGGCCTTTAACTCTGAAAATCTCTGTGACAAAAAAAAAAAAATATAATGTTGCTTTTTCATCAAGGTAATACAGACAAATTAAAAATTAAAGGTTCTGCATGGGGAGTATCTTCAGCTCAAATGTATGTATTGATTTCATTAATAATTTGGGTTGATTCTGAATTTCCTTTTTAATTACCAACACTGTATTATCTTCAAAGCGCATTTCACCACAAAACAAAGGAAAAGGTCTCTAAAAGACCATCAATTCTTCAGTTCAAATATTGAAAATTTAAGAACTTAACAAAACTACGGTGAAAGTTGCTGAACAAAAAAGCCATCTTTGCCACTGATGAAGTTGCCCGGCAACTCTGATGGTAACATCGCGATGCAATGACCTGATGGTTTCATGATTCTTTTTGCAAACAGGATAGGGGTAAATATTATAATGTCACAAATAGTATTCACCTGGCCAGCAGGGAAAGGGTCGGATTCAAAAGACGGCTTTACAAAATGTCATGCTCTTTTCCCCCGCGTCATCATCAAAATGACATGGCATACTTGGTTTCAATACTTCCATCACATTTAGATCAACTGTTAGGAAAGTTATTAAAACATCGCACAATATACATGACAACATATGTGTTCATACAAAAGCTTGCAATATAAAAAAACTTGACTCCCCTTTCAATCAATCACTATTGCTTTATCAAGCTTGAATATCATAATTTTGCGATGCTCTAAATCATAAATTTGAGGAAAGAGGTCCCTGAAATAATTGCTTTCATTTCAGTTATGTAACCTTTTATCAAGGAAATTGTTCTAGGATCAAAAAGAATATTGCTAACAAAAAATTTCGTCAGGAAACATGGGGTTCTATCATCCCTCCACAAAAACAACTGTACTGAATGTATGACCTGACGAAACATATATATATATATATATTAAACGAACGATTATACTCTGTTCAAAAAATAATCTTTATAAAGATTAGCACAGAATTTGTAGTTCCACATTAAATTTATTTTTCATTTTGATTCATTTTTCTGGTTCAACCAATGCTAGAACAGTACTCTATAGTTACCCAAACTGCAAATGACTGCATAAAATTAACAACTAATTTATTCATATCCTTCACAAGTTTTGATTCATCAATTGATTCATCCTGATTCGTTTTTTGAGAATGTGACATAGCTTACATCTAAAAGTACTCAAGAAAGGCCCAAATTTAACCAGTACACCTTTCATTCTTGAGTTGATAAAAACAGAAATAACCATCAAATTTACAAGGGGTGTGAATATTTTAGTCAACCGTATATCTTACAATTTTGTGAGCATTGAATTAGTCAGAGAATTAGTCAGAGAGACCTGTGTTGTACTCTTACAGCTTTTAAAACTAACTGAAGAAAAGAGATGCTCAGTTTGGTGTCTGATAAAGGCGAACTAGATGCATAAAAAAGAACACTATTTTACCACCGCCATGACCTTCCTAAACACTGTGGCCCGTATTCTGAAGTCGTGTCTAACTTAGCCACGTCTAAAGTTAAACAACTGTTTAGTTAGACACGACTTAGACAGGACTTAGACGCGAGGTCGTGTCTAAGTCCTGTTTAACTAAATTTCGTATTCTGAAGTCGTGTCTAAGTCTCGTCTAACTAAACAACTGTTTAAGTCCTGTCTAAGTGGTGTTTAACTAACAACTGTTTAAGTTCTGCGCAAGTCGTGTTTAACTCTTAGTCACGACTTCTGGGCATGCCCAGTAGGCGTTAATTCTGACGAAAGACCCAATGCGCATGCGTGCGCGCACCGGATAAATAAATTAACGCGTACAGCTAGCTGTGTGCGGGTACCATGGTGATGTGATCGTGACGTAATGACTAGACTGCATGTACTTTGTGTACGTACGTACGTAGTACACGTACTGTACACTGAGATTGACAAACACACTACTTATCGGCGCCTCAGTGCTCGGAAGAACCACAAAAGAAACTACTCCAACAGAATGGTTAGTTTATTATAGATTATGGAATTTCCAAGGTGTCACCAGTAGATAAGAATAGTTGATATTATCGAGAAAAAAAATTAGGCTACACGAGAAAAAATCCTGCAAAACGTATTTGAAATTTTGGAGAATGCACGTACCATCGTTCTCCCCCGCAAGTTCGGGGTCAGCAAGTACAGTGTACCGTCGACGTTGAAAAGCAGCAGAATCGCGCCCTTAAACAGGACTTAAACAACCCCTCGCAGTTGTCTAAAGTTAAACAGGACTTAGACAGGACTTCGTGTTTAACTTTATTTAAACACGACTTCAGAATACCAAAAAAGTTAGACACGACTTCGTGTCTAAAGTTAGACGGGACTTAGACAAGACTTAGACAACTGTTTAGTTAAACAGGAGTTAAACACGACTTCAGAATACGGGCCTGTGTATTCTTGAAAGAGTCAACAATACAAATTGTTATTCAAAAATTGTATCTAAAACATAACACACAATACAGTAACCAATCATCTGTCTAGAGACATAAAGCGAATAGGAACATTTCATTTCTTCGTACTGTCATCAAAAAACATTATTCTCTTTAAAAGTAATCTCATTTCATCACTAAAACTATTTTCATGAACAACTCCATCATTATTCATCACAGCAATATATACATGCAGCTATTGAAATGTACAAGCCTTTCTTTATTAGTATTAATTTATACCAATATACATTATATTACACATACTGTATATTGTATCCCCAAGGCCCACACGTTTTTTGTTGCAAGTTTGGTCTCAATAGACATACATTGATCAACTGAGATAATTCATGTCTGCATTATCATCTCTCCATGGTATATCCGTTGTCAAGTGTTCAGATAATACAAATGATGATAAAGCTGGACCAAGAGAATTACATGTACTAGCTAGTAATTTCATGGTTTACTTAACTGTTTTGGGCATGTGTTTGCATCAATTTTGGGGGCCATGAATGCATTCACCCACAGTTTTTTCAGCAAAATAAAAATCTGGACCACTAAACTTTGAGTTAGGGAAAACAATTATGTGTCAATGATTTTTTTTTAGTAGCACCTTGCCATGACGAGAGAAAGGGTAAGTTTATGCTATATAAATCATAATTATCATTATTTATACTGATTCACATCTTCTTTTGATGTTCCTGAAATGAACGTTGACAATCTCCTGGCTGTCCCAGGTTCACATCATCAATGGAGACATAGCAGAGAAATCAATTTATAACCACATATACCTGAAAGGATGTGTATACTTTCCTAGGTTTTAACTATCAAATTGCATTAGTACACAGGTTTAAAAAAGAAGTATAGTTAAAGTACTTCCCCTTTGAATAGAGTGGCCAGATAGAAGTCTTTTGGTAGAAAAATATCAATCATTATAGTCTTGTAAATGAAATACCATTGGTCACCTTAATCTAATCTGTATGTATTTATGGTCACGAGTGGCCAGAGAGAAAAAAGACAAACAAATCTGCATGGCCACTCCTCTGGGCCTATACTTCTTCTTCGTGTAATCTTCAAAGGGCCCTGAACCATATTGCTAAGCTAGCATTTTGAGGAACTTATATTACCAACCTTGCTCAGCTCTGCAAGATAAGTTTTTTTCTTTTTAACTTAATGGGATAGAAAAGCTTTAAAAAAGTAATGAGGGCTGAATTAATATCCTGGAGGAATTCACTCTATATTAGGTTGAAATATCTTTCAACCCCCATATGAGCCTTGGGGTTACAATTTATACAGGCATATAGCATTACATCAAATATAAATTTGTAAATCAATAAATTAATGAATAAATACACTCTTCATCACAGATGAGAGTAAACACTTCTCAAATTCTTCGAACAGCAACCTGAAAGATCACTTCCATGAAACTTATGTGCATTTCGCAAGTTGTCCAATGCCTCGTGCTGGAAAATATAATCACACTATTGAATATGTTTAATTCTCAATGTTTCTTCCTTTTGAAACTTGTACAAATATTGTCTGTCTTATCAGATTAGTTACAGTGTGTATGAAAACAAATCCTGACATTTTTTAGTTTTTCTTGGAACTGAGAAACTGTTTGGTAGTACTTGTTTGATCACTGAGAGATTTATTTGTACAAAATAGAAAATAGCCCTCTCCATTTAACCATGTTGAACTTCGATCAAACATAATTGGCCCGTCGTTTTAACTAAATGTTTAGGATCTTTTTTCTGCACATTCAACATTTTTGTGATCTGTTATAAAAGTTTTGATCAGAGTCGAACAATTTTCATGCAGTACATTCAAGAAAATGAGCTTGTAATTTGGTCTTGTAAGAATTGCGTCATTCTTCCTGTAAAAGGCTATACATGCACCATATAAGTCTAGTTTTTGGTCATAACAGTGTACTGAAATCTCTACCTTCAACTTGTAAAAATACTTGCAACTAAAAAAAGAGACAGCGCGATGACCAGCCAAGCTTCGCTCCTCGTCAGAAAATGCTAGAAAAATCTCCTCTTAAGAGGTCTGAGACGGCAGCATGTCAATCTTTTGGTCCTTACGCAAACACGCCATCGCTGTGACCCTCTGCTATACGGCTGGACCAGGCTTGTAAAAAATGTTCCAGAACACAACGAAGAGAATAAAGATGATATAGACTACCATAGCCAGCCACATACCAAGACGTTCATGCAGGCGCTGCTCATAGTTTTTGAGAATAAATAGGCCTATCGTAAGACCAATCGTAACACCCATGAGATGAGCGACAAAAGAGGCCGCTGTGCGTAAACCAGAGTATCTTCGATAAACGGCCAGGCCAAAGTCAGCGCTTACTGCAAAAGAAGAGAAATAAATGTATTTGTAATTGTGAATATCATCTTCAAATTGGAAGGAACATGATTTTTTTTTCTAGCCAATACATATATGATCACTTATAAAACAGAGAGAATTATCATTAACTTACGAACATTGGATAAATATGATTCCTGATAAAGTCTTGAAAAGATTGAAAAGAATAGTTTCCACATTTTCAGTAATTAATTTACAAAGGGTTTGTAAATACCAACTAATCTTTGCATTGAAATATCGAAGAATACTTCCAGCAACAAGTGATAGTTGAAAATCTTCATATTATAGTGACTGCTTTACTTATAGTCCATAGTGTTTTCATTATGTATCTATCAATGCCTCCAAAGTCACATCTATTATTGTCCCATATCAATAAGCTAATCAAAAAGTTTTATTGCACAACTAATCAAATAAGAACTTTCTCATAAAACACGCCACACCTTGAATATCCCGAATGGAACGCCTACTTCATTATAAAAAGATTGCAAAGTGGCTAATTATAGGGGCTTTCCTATATGGTGTTATACTAGAGTATGTATCATACAGCTGTTACATCAAGTTTTGTAATTATCATTTGGTCACTTTGTCTGTGGCACATCGAAATATGTTACAAAGCGTACCCCTTGACAGCATTTGGATAACATCTTTTTTATTGAGTCAAACCAACTCTTAATTATATATTCCTATTTCATGGGTATTATTTGTCAAGCAGTTGTTCTGGATAATCCCATCACATAAATGTTACCTTAATTATTGCTTTATATAGGACTGACACATAAATACAATAATTGTATTTTTTAATGTTATATCAAAATTCATAACTGTTCGGGTTAAAATATATTATTTAACCATTAGGCTACAAATAGAAGTACATGTACTTGTATATTACTTTAATCCAAACACTGACAAGGTAATTACTTCAAGCTTATAGGTCAGACTTACTTACCACATACTATAACTACTGCTATTCTTTGAGGACTCAATTTAGAATCTGTAAAATGCTGAAAATAAAACAAGAAAAGTAGTTTTAATGTCAACACATAGATAATCAGCTGCATATGTTTCTCATTGGATCAAGTCCATAAGGATAGAAAAAGGAAGAGGCAACCCAGCTAAAATATTACTGAACTTTATTAGAAATATTATAATCATAATGCTGATCAACATGTTACACTATTATTGCACAAATAATCCTTCCGATATCATTCCACAATCACTTTTACTTGGACAAAATTTACTACCCTATATTTTTGTGAGCTCATATTTTACATAATTCTTACTTCAACATTTCTTGGAATGGGAAATTTTAAGGTCTATGGCTCTATGCCATTCCACAGGGCAAGTTTTAGATCATGATTGTATGATAAAATTACCACTTAGCATGGTCTGATTATGGCAGTGACTTCAATTTTACATGAATAAGCAAAAGCTGACAATGATTTTATTTTGTTAATACTGGATAATCTACTTCTGTGTTTTGAATTGAATGACATAAAGGCAGGCAGCATCTTGGTATCGCCACAAGGAGGACATGCAATCAATCCTTAATACTTCAGTGAAAGTTATGACGACTAAATCAGTAATTATCGTACAAGATCAGACTGCTACAATCTATATCTATGCCACTAAAGTAACAAAACATCTCCATATTATTTTCTGCTTCATTGTCAAATATACCTGTTTAGTATTGTATTTCAATTTCATGCTACCTTCTTTTGGAAAAGTTGCCTGACTAAATCAGTAATCATTGTACAAGATCAGACTGCTACAATCTATTTCTATGCCACTACAGTAACAAAACATCTCCATATTATTTTCTGCTTCATTGTCAAATATACCTGTTTAGGATTGTATTTCAATTTCATGCTACCTTCTTTTGGAAAAGTTGCCTGACTAAATCAGTAATCATTGTACAAGATCAGACTGCTACAATCTATTTCTATGCCACTAAAGTAACAAAACATCTCCATATTATTTTTTGCTTCATTGTCAAATATACCTGTTTAGTATTGTATTTCAATTTCATGCTACCTTCTTTTGGAAAAGTTGCCTGACATAGCAATAACTAATGTAGGCAAGATCCATTTCCTCCAAACAGGTGAATTAACCTGCTCAATAGAAAAAAATACATACATTGTAATACATTTCTTAAAGGAGTACCAGTATATCCCATGAAAGAAGCTTTACAAAGCATGTAGTTGTTTCAGCTTCAGTAAAAGTACAGTAGCTCCTTTTAAAGCTCCACCTCACTAGTTTAGACAGGAGGAATTAGAGCTCTCTGCATGATCACTAACAGGTCTGAGGTGGCTATCTCATCAAATAAGCTCTCAAATAACATAAGAAATAGAGGATCATGGGGGACCAATGGTCACAGATTAGGCCTTGTTTGCTCTATAGAGGGCGCAAGTAGCTATAAGTAGTGCAGTGGGGCTTTAAACCAGTCGACCTCTCCCGCCCATGAACAAGAGATGAAGCAGTTGAACTTACAAGAGCTACATTGGCAAGGTGAGCTGATAGGAGGGCATAGGAACCAGCCGATGCCCCCACAAGGTAACTTCTTCTGTCAAATACTGATGTACCCATTGAACCTGCAAGTCAAAAAGGAAATGCCGGTAGATCAAATGTCAAGTTTGAGTTCATTGCCGCCCTCTATTGGGAACATTCTTGTTCAGATAGTGGAGCACATCTATTGTGAATGTAGAACTCCTGAAAGGGTCTTGTAATTATCATATTATCTTCATATAGCAATCGTTCTAATCTACATATATGTCCCACAACACGGGACAACCCAGATTCTCTATAAATTTCTGTCTTTAGCTGTTCTAGTGACAAGAAGCTTGTGAAAGACATTCCTGTCTTTATGCCATTTATGTTTTAGTTGGTCTAAGGCTGCAGTAGTGGAACAGAAACTAAGCCACTGACTTCAATAGTCGTGCAGATATACTATCAGGCATCTATAGAACTGGTAGCAAATTAAAAGAAACTAAAAAGTCAACATGTGTGGAGCAAGACATGGGGTAAAAATCTATCGTGGAATAACTAAACAATAGCAATAAGAAATGTAATTTAACAAACTTGGAAGGAAAACTTCAAGAAACAAAATAAATTAACGATAAGAATTGACAAAAGTAACAAATTGCCAACGTGAAATGAAAGACAAATAATACAACAATTTTAGAGAAGAGAGATTGTGTATTAATATCCCACCACTGCCATCAAATAAGAACAAAGTGAAAGCAAGGATTCTAGGAAAATTCCAATCCTCCAAGACCACTATCCTATAATGTATATACCGCTTAGCTAGTTACATGAGTATCTATTAGGCCTATAACAAAAATGTTGTATTGCCATTTAGGTGCCAAAACATGGGTCGGTCGGTCAGAATTTTTTTTTTTTTTTTTTTTTTAACTCGCTCTTTTGGCTGATATTTCTCAGTTTTGAATGCTTTAATACATTTTTTCTTCTCAAAAACAGTAAAAAAATATATAAAACTATATAAAGCCGACCATATATTTCAAGATTTTTGGGTCAATCACAAAGGGCAATGGTCCGCAATACAACATTATTTTTTTTGTAGGCCATATGAGGGGTAGTTTGTTTATCTTCCTAGGGGGAGGGGATTAATTGTATTAGGCAATAGTTGCACAGGGGAAGAGGCAATTGTCCTAAGAGTATTCTTTTTCATGGGTTGTTTTCTGGAGGTTAGTTTTACCAAGGATTATCCTAGGGCATAGATGTATGTGGTTAGTTGTCAAGAGAGGTAGGGGTAATTGTATAGATGGGTGCGGTCTGGGGGACTAGTCGAGGGGGTAGAAATCCTACTAAGCATAGTATTAGATTTACCAGAGTTTTTTTTACTGGGGAACGAACATGAGTGTGTATATAATCAATGAGAAAATCAACACTAAAAATCTTTTCTATGACAGAGGTAAAGTTAAATGATCACCCAAAAGCTGAAAATCCTGTCTTTATTCACAAGCCCCGTCTCTTCACATACCTGTATAGTTTATTACTAATAGGTAAGGCATCGAACATATTCTAGCCAAATAATTGAAATAAATAAAATGACAAGAAAACAACTGTCTCACCAGCAGCTATGCTTATGAGGTAGAGGGTGCCAATTCTTCTGGTTCCGTGGACCATCTCTAAAGGAACTCCCAATAACATTTGGACAGAAAAGTTGAAGATTATATGTTCAATGCTGAAAGATAAAAAGACAAACTGAAATGTAAGTACTGATATTTGAAGGTTTGACCTTCATAGTGCCCATTAAGTACCCCCAAAATGCATCATAACTTAAACATCATTAGACTATAACAAAAAAGGTGTCACCTCCCTTGAGTGTAATGACACATACAGTCTATCTTTTACTGTGATAACAGGTTTAAAGAAACACAACATGTATCATAACGTTCAGAGGAACTAAGAAGGGATTTAAATTTCAATTATTTCTTAAATTGTCACTGTCATTAAAACAAATTGGATATGATATACCTGTATAATACCTTACAAATCATGAGCCAGTTTGATTATTGAAAAGACAAATTCATATTAGTCCTGAGATACTGGATACAATACCAGAGTAACAGCTTACAGCACTGAAAAGGTCTGGGTGCGCTGATACACATAAATTGTGTCAAAAGTTACTGACACAAGTACACAATTTTTCATTAAAAAGAAAACAAACATTCAATGTGTACTTGCCCTCCATGTAAAAGAATATAAGAAAAAAATCTCCAAAACTGTATTCTCTTGTCTGGATCAAAGACTAGCCAGCTGTGCTTTGGAAGCGGCCCTGTCCAGATATCTGCTGCCCTCATGGTTGAGTTGGTGTCATAGCGCGTTGCGTTCATCGTTACCCCTACGTAGAAACCTAGCTACGGAAGGAAGAATGGGTAGATAGAGAGAAAAGAAGACTATTATCTCTGAATGTAAAATAGATAAGATGTTGAGAAGGACATAATATATAAACCATCGCATCAAGATGCCTTTAATAAAAACAGAAAAATTGTATTTGAGTGTTAGCTCTGCTAAAAGACGCATTTTACAGTCTAATCCTTTGTAGGTTTTCCTAAAGATTTCACAAAGCCTCTCCCATTTTCTGCTTTGATTAAAACAAACTTTATTTCATAGAATACTTCCCCCTGTGTCTATGCCTTCTATAAGAAGCAGCTGGTGTCATTCAAATTCAAAGCGTTTGAAAATATCCCAAAAGATAAACTTTTGATTAGATTTTCTACTCTTAAGACATGTTTTGGCTCATACATTTGTATAAGCCTCATACAAAATGAAAGAGTATAATTCAAAATTTTGGAAGAGCAGCTAATTACAGCAATCAGAGACTGGATTAAACCATACCGAAAGTTGTGCTGATTAGATTTGCAATCTATTAATTAAACACCTTTCTACTCCTTTTCAAAAACAAACACACAACTGTGGTGCGAAAAAATTTGCAGTTTCTACAAGTTCATTTTTTTGGTGACTTTCACTTTGTATTTCAATTTCTAGGTTATCTGACTTTCTCTTATTTGGTGTCAACCAATTTTAGATTTGACAGATTACATTTCATTATAACAACAGTTAATGCATTAAATTTTCCGCATAAGAAAATAAAATGTATAAACTCCATGTCTGACGAGAGAATCAAAGTCTAAAAACTGTTTGGCAAAATAGAATATTAAGGATTTCAAATGAAAAGCTGATGAGTTAATAAAAACTGCAGAAATGCATTACTGCTGCAATAAAGTGCAGTACACAGTCAATAATAACCAACTAATCCAATCTATATTTGTTTTAATCTTTCTCTCATAAAGTGATGTGGGAGCACACAGACACAGCTCTATCTCAAGTCTATGGCACGGAGGTGAAGAATTTAAAACGGAACTCTACCAAAATCACAGATTAGTTGACCTCAAATTGGCAATAGCTAATGATCTGGATTCACCCAAGTACGGCTCATTAGACAAAGGATATGAAAACTGATGGATCGGAACCAATTGAATGGATTCTAGCCTAGTTTTGATGAGAGTCAGAATTAATCATTACCCATGAGATTATAAGCGCAATTTTCAGGTGGATTTTTTATTGTGACTGCTATATGAATCAGGTGTACACAATGTCTGCATACCGTATATATTATATTAATAATGACTATAATGACTCAAATAACAATCAAGAACTATGAAAGTGTTACTGTAAATGCTGTTATTTTCACGCGATTAATTTTTCACGCTGAGCGAAATAAAAATATATTTGCTGGTTCTTAAATTCGCGTTGCACCAAATTCAGCCTGTTCAGAACACGCATAAAAAGTCGTGTTTAAATTATCGTGGGTTCTAAAATTCGCGGACACAGACTTTAGTGTGAAATCCACAAAAACTGAATGTACTGAAAAATATTTCTGCGTTTACAGTATACGATAATGACATACAGAAATTATAGGTATAGCAAAGTTCTGGTAAAGATGAGAAAATAAAAAATTCATTTTTTATATTCTTATGTGGAAGAATAACCTAGAATCAATATCACTTGGAAAGGAATACTCATGAAATATTTCATTTTGCAAATATAACTTGGAATAGCTTTTAAATTTTAGGCTAGATATGTGACAACACATGTTTGGGCAGTCCCTGCTAAGTTCTGGGTGTATTTATTTGGCAAATTTTTACCAAAAAAAATTATTGAAATCATTTCAAAACCTCATCATACACAATCGTTACAGTTGTCCAACTACACAATTAGCTATTCAAAATAATTTCTAGAGAAAATTGCAAGACCAATACTCAATAACACTAAGTAGTTTGGAAGATAGTTCTAATCCAACTCTTTTGAGTACAGGAGTTTCATAAAGCTTATGATGAAAGACATCCTATACCAAGATGTGATAGAATGAAAATGCAGAAGAGGTCTTAGTGCACAGGCTATTTTAAGCTAATAATAATAATAATAGCTCGTTCTTATATAGCGCTTTTCAGGACCGCAGACCCTCTCAAAGCGCTTTACAGATAAGTATATTATTACCCCGGTCATTGGATTCAGGCTGACCCGCACACAATGTATGCACATTCTCCACTCCCTGGGGAGCATTCCAGCCAGGCGTCATTTTTATAAGCGCACACTTGCTAATCTAACCACATTAGCTACTCCATTATTCTTTCGCACATGGACATATAAGTTCATGCAACATTTGAAATCATTATGGATTGCCTTTATGGCATCATCAGTCTTCAAAGTCATAATTTTCCGACTCCTCTGAGTAATATATTATGAAAAATGATATCTGTAATGATCCTTTTGACAAATGTGAAATCATGTCGTAGGAAAAGCTAATGGATGAAATTGCCATTTTGGGGATAAAAACTCCAGGAAATGGAACTACTTGTTTTTCAGAGCATTTATCACCTCAATCCAAGTGACCAAGAAGATTAGGATGGGCGGAAGACACCAGGTAAAGTTGCATCGAAAGTAGTTCCGGTCTGTCTCGTTGGTTAGGATCTCGTCGGCAACCATCTTGAGAAAGCGCTGTTGATAGGTGAGGTTGCGGTAATCGTCTTTCTTGAAACTGACGCTGCTACCGTCGATGCAATCCGTCTCGCATTCCTCGTAGCGTGATCGGACGGCAATGGAGAAACTTAGGGATCTCTTATCACTCATCTGAGAGATAATGTTAGTTGATGAAAAAAGAAAGATACAGAATGATAATTTCATCAACAAGTAAAATGCTGGTAGTGCAGGGATGGTTTAAATTAATAATTCAGAAAGATAAAGTAAGACTTAAAACTGTGCAAAGGAATGGTTTTCACATCTTTGTTTATTATTACATTATACTTCTCTAAATTAAAATGACTTGCATTATTAGACACATTATTAAAGAGTAGCCACTAATCTATCTATCATGGGTGATTGTCTATAATTAAAAGAAATGGGGAAAGGGGTGCCAACAAGGACATCAAGATTATCTAAAGGCATTGCTACCCCCTCCCCACACGCTCACACACAATCATACAAAAAGTGGTTTTGGGTTGAGGCAGTTTCACATTTTTGCCTGTGCTCAAATTGACTGGAGTTGAGTTAGTCTGCAAAACAAAGGCGATCATTTGACTTTTTTTTGGTGGAAGGACTAGTACGTTCACCTAGATAGCTTTCCAGAGACCAAATTTCCTTGGCCTGAACTCACAATATTGACGAACTCTTGATAGCTGATGACACCTCCAGTATTCTCCTCTATAGTGGTCTCCAGGACCTCCCTCTTGTGTGGATCGAGATCCTCCCGCAGCCCGTACTTGTAGAGGATCACTTGAAAGGCCTCCATGCTGATCACCCCGTTACCATCCACATCAAACTAAACAGAGACAGGAGAGAAAAAATATGAACAAATAGTTAAGGGTTAAAGGTACTCATCTTCTTCTTCTTCCTTCTTCTTCTCCTCCTCCTTCTCCTCCTCCTCCTCCTCCTCCTTCTTCTCTAAGTGACTATCTTCCCTTACTTCTTCTTTTTCTTCTTCTTCTTCTTCGTCTTCTTATACTTCTCCTTCTTCTTCTTTTTTGCTTTCTACGTCTTCTCTTTTGGCCCTTCAAACTGTTTAAGCCAACTGAGATTTGTTTGACTGAAGAACCATTTTCGGCATAATGTGATTGCGGAATACTCATCTCAATTATTATGTTTTCTTTTATAAGAGAGAGACTTATAAGAGAGAAAATTATGAAAGGCATGGTATTTTCTCTACATCATAACTAGATAACATAATTTGAAAGATAAATATATTTCCCTTTGAAAGTGTTCTTTACAAAGAAAATAGAAAGCACTTATAATCAGAAACTTGTACAACTTAAAGCCTATCTGCACTAGTTTGGCCAGGAGGGATCAGACCTCCCTGCATGGTCACTGGCAGGTGGTTATCTCATCAAATCAGCTCTCAATTAACATAAGAAAAAGGGGACCATGGGAGACTATTGGTCACCGATTAGTCATAATTGTTTGCTATATAGAGGGCGCAAGTAACTATAAGTAGTGCAATGGGGCTTTAATAGTGTGAAGAAAGTAGGAAACATACAACATAACATATTTTGTATGCATGAGAAATCTATTTTAATTCATGCATTAAACTTAGTGGTATACTACATAGTTACATAAACCATCCTTGCCCTCCCTCTATGTGCTTCAAGTGATAAACAGCAGATGAATGTGTTTATAATGCTGTATGTGAATGCTCATCAGCCACTCTCGTCAGGCGTCAAATCCCATTCTGAATAATGGATGTACTATTGGCAAACCCACTAAGAATATCAAATATGTTTATCTTCCTTCATGTGGTTCTATAATAGAAGGCTTTACTACGCTTGTTCTACACCAAGATCGCAAATGACATCACGACGCCGGGCGTGACGTCGTTCCGTGTCTCAGTAGACAGAAAGCTACGAGCGGAGGTCTAAATTTAGACTTTCTTTCCAACCTCTGACGTTCAGAAGCTATATGTAGCGTAGAATAAAGGCCACTCCCTCCCTGAACAACCGACTTGGTAGCACAAAGTGAATTGGGACTTCGCAACTCTCTGTGACATCACAAAGAACTGTTTAACAAGCAGGAGCGAAGAGATGACCGATTTTAGACCATGTACCTCCAAACTCATTACAGGTCTTCTCCTTTGCCCTTTTAGACTCATCCAAAATTTAGCGATGTATTCATAGCGTTCCAACGCAGTTATCATACGCTGCGACACCTAGATCTATCTTTACATGATTTCATGACATCATTGGACAAGAAATCGTTACTTATTCACTCCTGTCGGTGGGTAGCTGACCTTTCGTCCTAACAGAAATGAATGACGCTCATTACCTGTAAGGTTGTTATCCATTCATGTCATTTGGGAATAAACGGTAGAATGAATCAGTTAGATGACTTAGATTCCACTCGAAATCATGACAGTGATATCCTTTTGATGGTGGTTAATGTATTTCACATTTTTGAGTTTCCTGGAAACTTGGATATTCTCTAAGAATTTCTGTTTTCTTTTAAAAGTGTCTTCTTCGTCAGAGCACTTCTGGCCCGTTCTCATTATATGTGAGAGGAGTTTTTGTCTTGTCTCGTTCTCTAAAGAGAAAAGACTCTCCTGAGTCATACATTTTCGAAAAATTGAAATTGTATTAATTTTATGTGTTGGAACAAATTGTCCCCCACTACATCTCAGAAACAATTTAGATTCAGTCAATTTGAAGAGCCAAACTTTCAAACTTTCACCTTCTTATTTCTGTGATTTTTCTTCTTTCCTCTAGAGTAGTTTGTAATCAAGTTTGGATTTTCCTCTAAAACATGCCAGTGAGTACTGTCATATGGCTTGACATATATTTCTTTTTCAATACATTGTGTAAATGCACTTGAAGAACAAATACCAACAATATTTATTTTTTTTAATCTTTTTGAAGGAAAATTTCCTCAAGTCTTTCACTTTGTTTGTTATATGAATTTTCAATAGATTTAAAATGGATACTTTGGCATAGCAAATAAATATCAAATGATACTTTCAGATAGTAATAATATCATAAATAAATACATCACTTTGAGTAGATGATACAGAGTTTGCCATTCTGGGAGTAGGCCACTAGGAAGCAGAACAGAAACACACATATGATAGCAAATATGGAACAATTTACCTATTATTATTTGTCAATCCCCATCTGTAGAGTCTTTTAAGGCAAGTTTGAAGTATTTTTTGTTTACCGGTAATAGTAATTTATAGGGCAGTTTTAATTATCTGTAATGTTATTATTAGAATTATGTATTATTATTGCTGTATGTTTATTTTACGTTGTGCCTAATTACTTGTATGTTAAGCGCTTAGAAACATTGTATTAAGCGCTTTATAAATGTAATTTATTATTATTATTATTAAATAGCCATTGCAAAAGTGGCATATATATATCTCTTCCTGCGTGATCATGTTTTCTCTAAATCATAAAATAAACTTACAATTATAATTAAAAATGTCGATTAGGCTTCAATTATCAGGCTTGACATTCGTGGGTACACACTTTACAATGCATGTACTTTTTATTTTTGGAAGAAATCAATTAATTTCAAACCCCCCTATTCTACTGATTTATTTGTAGACCAAAACATATTGATAAGGTTAGTTGGTTTGTTTGTTTGTTTTACCTGACTGCTAAGAAAGTATGTGTATGCTTTTAACTAAGCAACCAGGGGACAGACTGCTTTAAGTCCTCTCCAAGGGACTTGAAAATGAGGATTAGTGTTTTACCAAAGGACACTAGCGCATCAAATTGGTTTTGAACCTGGGACCTCCTGTTTACGAGACCACTGCTCTACCACTGATAAAATTCAAAGTCTTATGCAGGATTCACTGCTCATGATACTGAAGGATTAAAGCTATGTCATCATGTGTAAGGCATCAAGTTAAAAAAGTCTTGTGGCGTCTGGGTAAGTACAAGAGGCCTGATGATTGTGTCTGTACTATATTCAGTCAATTCCAGACATTATTTATAAAAATGAGCATATTATCGGTTCAGAATTTGTTAAAGTGTTAGTATCCATTACCTTGTTTATCTCTGCCAAAAATTAGAGGTAACCTCTGGAGGTCGTGCCATGTCACCCCTTAAATGTTCACTGTTATATATCATAGCTTATCCTATCAAGCACTGCTTTTTAGTGGACCCCCCCCCCCCCCCCCCATTTTATCAGATATTAAGAATTTCTTGTAATAATTTTGTTATGTGCAAAGTATATTTGAATAGTTACCAAGAAAAATGAATTTTGTATGAAAAAAATGTAATACCTTTGTTTATCTTTCTCTTGGAAATGAAATAAATATTAATTAAATTTAATTGAATATACTATGCTATCATATAGTATCCTGTTATATCAAATCACATCACATCACATCGTATCATATCATAAAATATCATATCATATATCATATTTCATATATAATATATCATATATCATATATCATATGCCATATCATATCATATCCTATCATATAGTATCCTGTTATACCATTTCATATTCCACCTATTCTTATGTTATCTTATTCTTCTCCCTTATGCTTTTTCTCTCTCCATCTCTCTCCACCTCCCTCATCCTGCCTGCCTGCCTGCCTGCCTGCCATCTCTATCTTCAGGAGCATACCCACAAGTGGTAAAGTAATTACTAATTGATTGGTAATTGGGCACCTCTCCTTTCCTACCTATCTATCACGTTTCTTCTCCACTTGAGTTTCATCACCCTAGCTCGCCTTCCACAGGCTGATCTGCTCTCTGTTTCATCACTCTTCATGCTGGGCCTTAATTTCTGTTAAGACCCTATTCACACTTAAAGGTAATACAAAGTTTTGGGAAATTTGAAAATCGGGTGGAAAGTGATTCTTTACAATTTTGATATATTTGGATGCCCCTGTAGATGTATTATAAGCACAAGAAAAATTTGCCCCTAAAACACTTTTCCTTTCGAGAAAAATGGAATATAAAAATTTACCGGTGCTCCCGGTAAATTTTGATAAATTTCAAATAGCATCTACGGCCGTACACTGGTAGCTGTGACCATGAAAATTTCAGAATATGTAGTTCTGATATACAATTTCCAAACGGAAATAGCTTATTGGCCGATTTTAGTCAAGAAACATTGTTTTATAGCTTAATTAATATCTTGACCTTGAGAGGGAGCTATATAACATAAATAGTTTATTATTTACAATTTCATAACTTTAGACTCGATTTCAACCGCGACAACGATCCCTGAATATTGTAGGATCGCATATGCTTACATCATGTTCATTTGAACCAAATTCATGATCCCATCCCAAAACTTTGTTACCTTTAAATGAAAGTGTTTTTAACAAGGGCGTCAGGTAACTGAGGTTCCCTGTGCAAAAGGCCATAATTTGCTGACCCCAGACTTGGTGTACAAATCTGCAAACCCATAGGCCTATCAAGAAATACTGCCTCGTCTCTCGAGGAAACTTCGGGTGAGGGAAAAGTAAGATAAGGACTTCATCTGTATGGAATGTATGGAAAATACAAATTGTTACATAAGGCCTATTGGTCATAAAACTGGCAATTAACAATACCGTTACTGGGTAAACACCCAAACATTTTCGAAATCCCCATGAAAGCCGACTCCTACAGGCTTTAACCTGCTGCTGTGGAATGAAGGGCAGAGAAGGAGTAAATCCTACCAGATTCCCATTAAAGTTCTGATAAAGATGACAAATAAATTGTGAGCTGTCTCTTTCTTTCATATGCATGTCAGTTTGGAAAAGTATTTCACTAGAAATGACCCCTGAAAAAAGTGGGTTGCTCTTCAAATGTCCTATTTATTCACAATATGACA